GCGTGCAGCCTCGTTCTGTGGACAATATACAAGGTGCAGACTTTCATCTATGTCACCGGTGATGAGGAAATACAGCGAGTGCTGGATGGAGCAATGAGTGACAACCCTGCCCACATTTAAGAGTACTGTTTGCGGCGGAAATGCTAAACAGACCGAGGGTCTAGGTACCATGTCTGAAGGGTTACTGTTGGTTCCAAAGGTACTATATTGAAAGTGTTTGGTGGAAACGAGGCTAAACATACTTACTGTAAGTATTTATTTATGTTGTCTAAACCCAAGAAAGTAAACCTGAGTTGGAACTTTATTTTGAAAAGAGACCGTCTGCATTTGATAAGCAGACACTGTACATTTCCTGCAAAACTGTAACTTGTACGTGTTATAGTCATTCATTTTCTGTGACCGCTTATCCTGTTGGGGGTGCTGATGACACTGAGTGACAGGCGGGGTACACCCTGGACAGGTCACCAGACTATCACAGGGCTGACACATAGAGACAGACAACCATTCACAGTCACATTCACACCTACGGCCAATTTAGAGTCACCAATTAACCTGCATGTCTTTGGATTGTGGGAGGAAGACGGAGCACCCGGAGAAAACCCACGCTGACACGAGAAGAACATGCAAACTCCACATAGAAGGGCTCCCTCTCTCCGGGATTTGAACTTGAAACCCTCTTGCTGTGAGGCGACAATGCTAACCACTGCAAGTTTGCACTCATGTTTGTGAGACATAAATTTATTTGTTCATCTCCATCTTTTGGTGTATATAAAGACAAAAACACATCTCTGTAATAACTCATCTGGTCACATTTTTTGTTTCCATGACGTATTTTTATTCAAACAAGACAAAATTCAGCCAGTAAGGTGAGATGAGTCCACCTGTTCCCAGGTCTTTTTCTTTCTTTTTTTTTTTTTTTTTAAATCAGCTTCAAACGAGACAGAAGAAATGGATTTGGGAATCAAAACCTCAATCTGAAAGAGCAGGTGATATAATCTTACTCCACTGGCACGTTTCTTTAGCTTATTTTATTTTGCATGTGAAGACGCGGTCTAGATGCTAAAAACAGAAAATGGCTCCATTTACCCACAATGCAGTGCCATATACAGTAATTCAAACAGCATTCAAAAAACACCAACATATAAATCTTTAGTTAAATAAAATGAGCAAGAAAGAAAACAGAACATTTGAAATAACTTGTTTTTTAAATTTTAACAAAGTGGATTCTGGAATTCATCGTTAACATGTATAAACTTTAAAATAAATGAAATTAGGGCAGCATATCTCACAAAAATCAAGACAATCTTTCAGTTTGTGATATAAAAGCACCAACTTTGGTATATGTACATATATATATATATATATATATACATATAATTTAAGCTATGTAAAAGAAGTCTGGATATCAGGGCATCGCACATTGGCATTCTGATGACTATGGCAGCAAAATCCACTATGGCCGCCACCAGGACATCGTTTCAGCTATGAGTTTTCTAATGAAACATATTTTTTATTTTAGCTTGTCTGTTGATTATATCTGTGTATAAACATGGAGACATAATAGAAATAGCTCATCCCTACAATTAGTCTGGGTGAAAATGTGTGTGTAAATTAAATTTTTTGGGACAGCAACCGTATTGGTAATATGCAAATTAGAGATCGTAAATAAAATATAATAGGATTATTAAAAAAAATCATAAATCTGAGTTTTCCAATGTGTTTCTAATACTAAAAATATTAAATAGACAGCAAGTTTGCCAAAGAGTTTAAAAAAAAAAAAAAAAAAAAAAATCCCTTATTTTAGGTACTTGCCATCTTGGAAATATGCAAATAAAAATAAACATTCCAATGTGTTTGTCATTATGAAAAACCGTACAATAGACAACAAGTTTGCATTTGTAGCTCATCTTGTTCAAAAGTTATACACACACACGGTTTATACACAAAAAATCCAATATGGCCACCACTGAGCTACCAGTGCAAGTTTGGTGTTTATTTTATGTTTTTGTTTTGTTTTTGTTTTTTACCATAAAAAACACATTGGAATGATTGTTTTTATGATTTGATGCATCTGGACCCCTAATTTGCATATTTCCAAGATGGCGGCTCCTTAGTCTTTTGGCAAACTTGGTGTCTATTCATAATTCTAAGCATTAGGAACACGTTGGAATATTCAGATTTATTATTTATTTTAAAATCCTATTATATTTTATTTATGATCTCTAATTTGCATATTACCAATATGGTCGCTATCCCAAAAAATTGAATTTACACACACATTTTCAAGTTTCATTACAAAACTTATGGCTGAAATGGTTTTCTGTTGGCAGCCATATTGGATTTTGACGCCATGGTCATCAGAATGCCAGTCTGCAATGCCCCAATATCCATGTCTTCTGCATATTCTAAGATATATATATGTAACAAATTTGGTGCTTTTATCACAAACTGAACGACTGATCAGCTGTGTTGCTGCACTATAAATACATCTGTTCAACATCATTTCATCAACATCACTTACAGTACAATGAATCCTCAATAAGTAAGCGCTCACAGTGTCAGTGCCTCCTTGTACAAATTGTGTTCATCTGAATATTCATGAAAAATGTGCAAAAACACTTAAACTGGAGAAAAGTTAAAACGTTGTGACCAGCAGAAACTCAGAGATAAAAATTAATGTGAGCATTTAAGATAACAGTTCCAACAACCAACACAAAAAGTGACTTTTAAATAGAAAATATCAGTTTAATGATATTTTTCCAATGCTACTTGATCAGTACGAAAACAGTTTAAACACTGGCAGCTCTTTTTGTCATCCATATTTCTAAAAAGTGTATGTTTTATTAGAGAAATACATGTATCGTTGTGCAGGACTGTACCTACCAATCACTTCTAATTTTGTTTAAAATATTAGTTATTTGCGAGTCTATAAAATGTTAGCTTAAACCATCAAATATTTAGTTTTTTTTGTTTCATACACTGAAGTACTTCATTTGATGCCAATTAATCAGTTTCTATAATTGTACTGATGGTTTTAGCACAGTTTGTATATTATAAATATTTATGACAGTACGTATTTGTGTATTGATTTACCTTCAGTCTTACTGTGTGTTAACTAAAGTTACATCAATAAATTAGCAGATATTAGTTTACAGCAGATACAGTGATACTGGTGTAAATATGGGTCGATAGTTAAAGGAGAGAAAAGTCAGTATAGAAATTCTGAAATGTGTTTGAGGTAATTTAGAGCTTGTCCACCAGAAAGCGGTGAAAACTTGATTTTTACAGTGTCGCAAACACTGCTGGCCATGATTCTTCGAAAACAAACCAATGTGATTCTTATTTGTCCATAACATGTAAATTTTGTCATTAGCTCATGGGTGCGACATCAAATCATTTGTTTATTTGTGCAGCACATACGTTGTATGTATGTAAGTTTTGTCATGTATGTCAGTGGCATTCATATTTCACTGGTTAAATTAGCATCACGTAAATTTAATCATTTAAGTCAATAACACGTAAGTTTTGTCATGTATGTCAGCGACATGTAAATTTAGTCATTTATACCACATTTATGAAAATTTTGTCATTTGAGTTCCTCGCACGTACATTTGTTAATTCATTCCATAACATGTTCATTTCGTGCTGTATATTAGCAACACGTAAATTTTGTCATTTAAGTCTGTGACACATAAATTCTATCATTTAAGTCTGTAAAACGTAAATTTCGTTATTTAAATCAGTAGCATGTAATCTTTGTCATATATGTCTGCAACATGTAAATTCCATCATTTAAGTCTTTAACATGTTAATATCATCACTTAACCCTGTAACATGTCAATATCATGGTGTATGTTAGCGACACATAAATTTAGTACTTTAAGACTGAAACACATATGTTTTGTCATATGTCTACAACATGTACATTTTGTCAGATCAGTCCATAACATGTAAATTTCATCATTTTGTTAGGGACACATACATTTTGTAATTTCAAACTGTAAAACGGGAATTTTGTCAATTATATCTGTTGCATGTAAATATCATCATTATGTCTGTAACATGTAAATTTCGTCAATTCAGTCCATAATGTAATTTTCATCATTTATATTGAGAACACATAAATTTGGTAATTTAAGCCTGTAACACGTAAATTTCATTGTTATGTATGCAACATGTTAATTTGTAACACATAAATTTTCTCATTTAAATCAGTAACATAGACTTCATGGTGTATGTTAGTGACACATAAATTTAGTCATATAAGACTAACACGTAAATATGTCCACAACGTGCAAGTTTAATCAATTCAGTCAGTAAAGTGACTTTTGTCAATTAAGTCTATAACATAACATCATAATTTATAATGAGGACACGTAAATTTGGTCATTTAAATCTGTGCCACATGAATTTTGTCATTATGTCTACAACATGTAAATTGCGTCATTTAAGTCTGTAACATGTAAATTTCATTATTTGTTCATGTCAGATTTATATTAAGGACTCCCGCACACTGTCTGACTTGCAATGTTTAATTTATTTGCGACGATTCCGTACTAGAGCTTCATCAGGAAAACAGTTTTTTGTTCATGAGAAGCCATCTTAAATAGGGAGTGGTTGTTTCTCCACAACCAATCCCGTTCCCACATGCAAACACAGACGGACAAAATCATCATTGGGTTATTCAAACACAGAACAAACAGAGACAGCAAAAAACAAAGCTCTCTGTGTGATATCAGTCTAAAGTAACCCCCACGTCTAAAGGGGAATACAAAATATAGTGAATCAATTACAAATAAATATTTTTTTCTAGATATTTCTACAGGAAATATAACAGATTCCCTTTGTAAGTAGGCTGATAGGGGTATGTTTTTTTGCTGTCTCTGTTTGTTGTGTGTTTGAATAACCCATTGATGATTTTGTCCCTCTGTGTTTGCATGTGGGAATGGGATTGGTTGTGGAGAAATGACCACTCCCTATTTAAGATGGCTTCTCATGAACAAAAAACTGTTTGCCTGAAGGTCTAGTACCGAAACGTCGCAGTTGATGTAACAATTTTATTTTATCTTTTATTTATCTATCATTATCTTTAATTTTTTTTCCTCTCTTTAATCTTATTCTATTTAATGTCCTTTGATTTTGTCTTGTGCTGCTCTGATACTTGAATTTCCCTCCTGGGGTATCAATAAAGTATATCTTATCTTATCTTATCTTAAATAAATTATACATTGCAAGTTAGACAGTGTGCAGAGTCCTTTTGCAACTTTTGAACTTTTTGGTCTTCTCTCTCCAACGCACCTGTCTTGTTTAATAGATGTGCAGAGTGTTTCCTTTGTTCTAGATTTATTTAGAAGAAACTGTGAAGAAAAAAATCAATTTCATTTGATTTTTTAGGTCGTCCTTTAAAAACAGTTAGGGTACTATTTGTGCTAATTAAATTGATGCAGCACTAAAGCACAAATATCAGCTGATAAAATAAGCTGGGTGCTGCTGAATTACCTGTACCTGTTAGTTTTTAAAATCCTCATGGTTTCAGATTTGTACTAACCTTGTATGTATTCTTCATTTAATCTTATATTAATATCACCACACAGCAAATCAGGAGCCAAGTAGTATTTCGGCAAAGAAAAAAGGTACATATTGCACAGAGAGTGGGAGGAGCAGGAGTTTACATCAGTTTGCCCCCAAGCAGGTTAATGAAGCCATGCTTTTTGTTCTGTTACATTAACGAGTACAGTGTCAGAGAAGACATATTCTTTGTTTCTCACTGACATTATTGCTTATTCTCTCTTCATGGTGTAGAAAATTAAACTCCCTGATTTTTTCTTGAAGCTTGTCAAAGGTCTGTGAGATTAAAAATATCAACAGTGAACCGTGAGCAAGAGGGATGTTTTGGGAAGGATAAAGTGGGCTACAACTAAATCAGAGATTGACAATTTAGATTATTTTAACAGAAATATCACACAAGAAGACATAATATATATTAGTAAATAAATCAAGTAACAGATATTTAAATTCTTAGTAATCAGTGTCAATATTGGAAGTCCATATTTGGTGAATCCCCCCAAACACCACTGTGCCCTTAGGAAACATAATGCTCTTCGGTGCCTTCATGTTTTTGTCATATTGAAAAAGTTTCCCATTGTATAAATGTTGACATCTTTGCTTGGAAAAAAAATGTCTCTTTAAATGACAAACTGTCTTTTTTCATCTTCACAAAACCCTGAATATCTCTTCCAAAAGACTCTTGGGGAAGAACTTGTCTTTGAATTTGACAGAGAGGCTTTTCACTTCACTTTCAGCGATAAAAGACAAAGAAGAAAAACGTGCAGCACCATTAGAGAAGGTGAAGGGGAGTGCCTCTCCATTAAAATTGTATTTGCTCAAATTAAATGTGACACATCTGTCACACAAAGAGACTTTATGGGATAAAAAGGGAAGCAGAAGTGAGAGGGCGTCTGACTGATGACAGTCTGTGCACTGTGGAGGATTAAAGTCATTAAACCTCCTGGGAAGAACTGTATCGCTGGTTTCAAAATTATCCACATTTGCTTAAGTGTTCACGTGCATCCCGCCATCCCCAGATTAAAAGATGAAAAACATTTGAGGAACAGAATTAAAAATCCCCAAATTCTGCAAATCCATCTGCATGCTGAAAAACGCTGCTACTCCCACTGAGAAAATTCAATCCAATGAATATTTGTAAAAACAAAATCCTCATCAAGGTGTCTCGGACTCGTCATCCCCCTCAGGTGATGTTGGTGAGGTAGGCGTGTCATCCTCATCTGCTGCTACAGTCGCTGTGGGCAAACCAGCCGCTGCTGCTGTTGTCATCTTCTCATAGGTCCTCCTGCGCTGCCGCCGCAGTGTCTGGCTCTGCAGCTCCTTCACCTCCTGCAGGACCTCCTGCGCCTCCTTCCACGATGACACAGCCTCCTCCAGGAGGCGCTCTGCCTCCTCACGCCTTCTCTCAACCTCCAGGTCCTCTGACAGCAGGGAGGGAAGCAAGGAGGGCAGAGGTGGAGACAAGCGGTGTTTGTCTGGGGTTTTGGGCTGCGGGGACTCGAACGATCCAGAAAGACTCGGGGAGTTCTTCTGACTTTGACAGGGTGACCCCTTGCTGTTCCCCAAATGAGGGGAGTCTGTTTCACTCCCCTGTGGTGAAGCAGATCCTTTAACCTGAGAGGAACCAGATCCTCCGACACTTGGAGGTGATTCATGTGATTGCTGTACAGGAGAGTTGTGCTCCTTGTTGGGACAAGAAGAGGTGGACGATCCCTTGAGTTTTGGTGAATGGACTGTGTCGGAGCTCTTTGTCCGAGGAGAGTTGGTGGCATTCAGACAGGGTGAATCTTTCAGTCGGGGAGAGTCGTTTGTTTTAGCGGCAGGTGAATGGGATCCTCTGGAGCGAGGCGATTCGGTTCCTTTGGAGCGATTCCTCTTGGCTTTGGATCGAGGAGACTCTCTTCCTCTCAGACGAGGAGATTCTTTGCCCCGCAGTCGAGGAGAGTCGCTGCTCCTGCTTCGCGGAGATCCAGATGACCTGCTACAGGGGACAACAAAAATCAGTTAAACGTTGATTCTACTTGATATGACAGTACAAATTTTAAGTTTTAACTGCACAAGCTGCAGTGTTCAAACCAACAGGACTTGGCTTTACATTTGGCAATTAAAACTTGGCTGCAGGCATTTAAAACCTCTGTATGCTTCAATATATCCAACCATCTCGATATTCAGGGGGCTCGACCACATATTTGGTACTTTCCTAATCATTCCAAAAACCATGCCCACTTCTTGCAATGACTTGTAAATTGTGAGTATGACCAACACATTCTCACTCCGAACTTGTCACATATCGACGTTTGGTCATGGACTTTCCACGTCCACATACACCCAGGGTGTGTTGGTTGTTGATGTCCTTGGACACCGTGTTAAGTTCTGCCTGTTACATGCATTGTCTTCTTTTCAAATACACTTCAGTTTTCACAGGACGTTTACCATTTACATCCAGTCTCTTTTAAAATAACTGCACTATGTGAGTACAACAACATGAAATGACATCTTTTTAATTCCAACAACTAACGCACGTGGTTGGGTTAGGCACCAAAAACACATGGTTAGGTTTAGGCAACAAAAGCATGTGGTTGGGTTCAGGATATAAAAACACATCAGATTTAGGCAACAAAAACATGTCAGGTTTAGGCAACAATAACACATGATTAGGTTTAGGCAACAAAAACACATGTGGTTAGGCTTAGGTAACAAAAGCACGTGTGTGGGTTTAGGATATAAGAAAAGGGGTTGGCTTTAGAATCTTATGGGACACGAACACCGCTCTCTCGGGTGAAAGTCTGTGTTTGTTGGACCCATCCACCACCCTTCCTGCCTGCCCCAGTCAAACTTTCGCTGCCTTAACTTTCGTCCTTGTCCCGTTGTGTTTCCCCCTGACGTTGCTGGGTGCTGTTAAACTATAATGGCAACCGGCTGCGTATCATGCTGACGTTAAAGGACGCCTTTTCCGTTGGTTTCTGATGCAGCAAGTCAATGCCCAAGCATCAGATTTCAAAACTTTGGAGTGAGACCGGGCTTGTATGGGGAACACTGGTTCGACAGCCCATTGGTTCGACATCCCATTGTTCCGACCATATTAAACTCATTGTTCCGAAGTCCGTTCCGAAATCATCATGATGCCCTGTGGTTAAGGTCTGGTTAGGTTTAGGCACAAAAACCACTTGGTTAGGGTCAGGAAAAGATCATGGTGTGGGTTAAAATGAAAAAGAAAGTGACAAACACATAAGCTGTGAGCCTGCTCCGCCTCAAGCCGGTCACGGCGTACCATATTCCCGCCGCGAGCCGTTCAGCACCGCGGACAGTCGGACTAATGGGATGTCGAACCAATGGGCTATCAAACCAATGACATGGACCCGCTTGTATGACAGTAGCTGGGGCTTAAAAGATTTAGTCCCCCCCTCCCATTCCTAATAGTGGTATATCCCACACTCTTTCCAACGGGTGGGGCTAGCAGCCGCAGCAGTAGCAGCGTGTGTGGCTGGAACCGCTGCCCACATCACGTATCGCGGGGTAAGATGTATACTCACACAGACACAGTTTAACTTACACAAGTTACAACAAATCCCATTTACTGTTACTACAAGCCCCAGGCCCAGGCTGATAATATAAACTGTCTGCAACATTTCTCCTGCATTGCTCAAAAGCCAGAGTTTAGTGATAGTCAGAGAGTACAGGAGAGAAAGAAGAGGGAGAGGACAGGACAAGAGCAGTCAGTGGCGCAGCGGCTCGTAGTTAATATCCGTAGGCTCTCCACCTGTCAGTTTGACAAACATGAAAGACGTGCAGTTTAACCGACGAGGAGCGGTCATTACGCGCGACTATTACGCACGGTTGTGAGGTGCGCAGCGGCAGATCTCACAGCACACTGTTTTTAAAGCAGTTTACCAGTTTAATTGCAGGAATTTTTAGTTGTTAAGCCATTTCTCATAAGTATAGACATTCACTGTATATCCACTTTTCTACATGTGGCTGCTGCTGGCTTGAGTCTTAGGCTGACCAAAAGTCCTCTTTTGCCCAGACATGTCCACTTTTCACGTCCTGTCCAGGGCATCCGGGGGGTGTTTATAAATTGATGATAATGTCCGGTTTTCCTAACATAAATATATAACAAAATAAGATAAAATAGGAAAACTTGTCTCCCTCTTTTATTTTATTTTCAACGTTTAATCAAGGCGGGCGGCGGAAGGTCCGAGGCTTCCAGTGAGGGGAGAGGTAGAAACAAACAGCCAATGTGTGTGTGTTCTGTTCAGGTGTTGTCACGTAAATAACAGTCCCAGTCCCCAAGCAATAAACTTATAAATTTATTTTTACACTATATTTTCACTGAAAGCTGACCGAATCCGACCTGAGCCCGAATACAGTTTATACATTTTTGACCGAACCCGGCCCAACCCGTCGGGTAGGCCTATCGTCGGGACCCATCAGGCTCGGATCGGGTAGCCACACTGTAGTGTGTGTATGTGTCCCCTATCTATAGGGGCCTATCTGAATTTCTGTCTTTGAGAGATATTATTTTGTAATATAACTGAATTTTTTATCCATACATATAAATTTTAAATATATTAAAATGACAAGGCATCTTTGAGTAAACTGCGAGTAGGCTATCTCATGGCCGGGCCGAGTGTCCTCTTTTTTGGAAATCAAAATATGGTCACCCTAGTCTTGACTCTCTCGTTATCAATAACTTGCAATGCTGAGATAAATGTTTAAAGTCCAAAAATAGTAATTTATTACGAACAGCCACCTTCCACCTAATACCATTGTTTGTATTGCTGGGTGAATAAAGAAGAACTTGTATACAGGTAGGGTAAGGACTAATACAGTATAATGCAATAATTATAATTATCATTACTTTTGATAACATTTTTTAAAACATTTGATTTGAACATGCTGACAGCTCAACACTGCAAGACAGATTTCAAAGGAGAATAAGAGAGAGAGAGAGAGAGAGAGAGAGAGAGATCAAGTGGGCGTGTAAATAGCATAATCTGATATCTTTCATCTGGAAAAAGGTTAATTTAATTTGATTTCAATCATTTTGTTTTAAATCTGGACATGTGCAGGTGGACTCAGCCAGTGCTAAGAAAGGTCTTATGCCTGCCTGTTGGAGAGAAAGAGAGAAGATTAAAGCATCAAATTGCGGTAAAAGATGCTGTATAAAAGACAGGCTACAACTTTTTCCCTTGTCCCCCCCTGGAATTATTCTTTAAAATTTTACTGTTTATTGTCCCCCCCCAACTATGAAATGGGATTTTCGCCCCTGCCTGACACACCAAGCCGACGGTCGGCTGTCGTCTAAAGTCGGGCTGTCGGTGAGCGTCTGTCGCCCTAGTTTTTGCGGTGTGTCCCGCACCATCAGCGCTTAGGTGTCGGCGTCGGCAGCTTTTCGACCGATTGAGCATGTTGATTTGGTCGTGGAGCTTGAGGACATCACTCTGATTAGCTGTTCAGGTTTTATTTCCTCACCCCTGTAGCGCGTGAATCTGCCTGTAGTGAAACTGGGGCTAACCTGTGCTTCCTCCTCACAGTGTGTTCACACCGGGCGCGAGGCAAATTTTTCGCACGATAAGATTACATACAAAGTCAATGTAAAGATGCGAATAGACGCAAATTTGTGCCGGCGGCGTGAATGACGCGAATGGCGCGACGCGAATGGAGCAAACGCGAAATTCGCGTCATTCGCCTCTTCGCGCAAGTTCAAAATATTGAACTCGAGCGAAATATTCGCTTGATGCTGTGTCGGGGCAGCCTATCAGCATTGAGATTTTCCTGTCGTCACCGACGTCACTGACGTGCTGCTGCCGTTGTAGTAAACAACATTCATTCAGGCGACATGTGACTTGCCGGATACAGTGAACATTTATTGATTTTCACACGCCAAAAACTGCCACTGTCTCACTGTAGTAAACAACATCCATTCAGGCAACATGTGACTTGCCGGATACAGTGAATATTTATTGATTTTCACACGCAAAAAACTCACCGGAGACAGATGGATATTTATTTTGGTGCTAATATTAAATGCAGGCTCCACTTCACCAACGGCGACTGGGATGCTCGCCGTCACTGCAGGTGTCTGGGTTATGAAGAACGCAGGTAGCCTTCACACACTTCTTTGCCACATCTGGATGGACCTCAATGGTCAACAACTGCCCCGCGTTGTTCCGAAAATGGAGGACAAGCTAATAATAGCTGTTTGTGGCCACCCTGAGCTTTATAACATTACGTCCCCAAATTATAAGCTTCGGACCAAGAAAGACCTGGTGTGGAGGAAAGTGAGTGAGGAGGTCGGTCTGCCTGGTAAGTTTTGAAAATTGATTCCAACTATCGGCTGTACATTTCTATCAACAAAATTAGCACTAGCATTAGTCCCAGTTAGCACAACTGATGTAGCTTGCTTTCTGGCCGGCATACTTGTCTGATTTACTAGCGGTGTGAACACACTGTTACTCGCATGAATGACTCGCGTGAATGTCGCGAGTAAAAACAAAAATTCCAGCGGTCAAACTCGCGCGAGTAGAGCGAGGCGAATATTTTACTTGCGCCAGGTGTGAACACACTGTCAGGCTCCACTTCACTCAGCTGCCTGACAGATCTGCTGCTTCTTCCCACTTTAACCTGAATAATGTAGCGTTCACATCGGGCGCGAGTGAAGCAAATTACTTGCTCGTAACGCAAGTAACGTGCCGCGCGTATCGACTGAGTTTAGACGCCTGACCATTTTGTTAATTCGCGTTATTGCGTCATTCGCACGAGTAGCAGGGAAGCCGGCTGTGCTAACTGGAGCTAAGCTAGTGCTAACGTTCACAGTACAACCATTCTTCAAACTAATTAAGGACACATATTTATAGAACTTACCAAGTAGACCAGTCTCCTCTGCGACTTTCACCCAAGCCTGTGTAGCAGCATAGAGGTGCTTATTGTCATTGTTTACAATGTGCGCAGCTGGGGGCCGCTAATGAGGTGGGCCGGTATAAAAGCGGCAGTCCTCCCACTGGTTCTTCCTTTGCGCTCCTATCGTCGCCTCTGCGTCACTTTCGGGTCGGAGGTCGTCTGGTCCGACAGGTATGGCTGCACGCTGCTTCACCTCACTGGTCGTTTGTTTGCCCACGTGCTTAAGGCATTGGTGTTGTGTTGTAGGGCGACTGCCTGTGTGCTGCTCTGGCCCCCCTGTATGCGCTGCTGCGTTTGTTGGCTGTGGTAAGTGTCCTCTCTCTTTGTAGTATAGTTGATGCTATCAGGTGGCTAATGCTAGTGTGGTCGCAGGTAAACGCTGGTGGCTGCATGGAGCCCTCTCTCCCCCTCCCTCCTCTCGTGTGAGTGTGTGTGTGCCCGCGCTGCGGAAAAGGTATGTTATGTGTATTGTAGCACGCACCGCATCATGTTCAGTGTATTTAGCCATGCTAATAGCATTTTTCTTGGTTAGGTGCTAACTGTAGCCAGCTTATCGGGCCGCTGCTGCTTTGTCGCCGCTGCTGCTTTGTCTCCGCTGCTGCTTTGTCTCCTGTTGTGTCTCCTGCTTGCCTCCATCACGTCTGCCGTTTGTCTCTGCTGCTGCTTGTCCTCACGGCACGGTGGCACGCTGCGGCACTGTAAGCCGCTCCGCAGCTCTGCTTCCGCCATAGGCACTGTTGCTCTGTTTCACGTCCGGAGCAGGACGGTTGCTCGTCCGCCCGTCGCGGGCTGAGACATTATTTTTAACCGGGGTTTGGTCCCCCGCATTTTGAGTGAATGAGTGTGTGAGAGTGTGGGTTATATTCTATTAGCTTGTTTATTTTTATATTGTTTGGGTTGAACCTGATTTTGTTTGTTTGTATAATTTATTTGTTAATTAGGTTAATTTGAGAGATTTTGTATATGTAATTGGATAATTGTTTGGGGTTTGTTTTCTTTATTTAGCCTTAATTTCTTTTTTGCTTTGTCTATATTTGAGTATTTCAATTGGGCAGTTATTAGTTGTTACATTTTGTTAAGTTTAGACTTGTGATCTGCCCATTAATTACAATTTTTGTTAAATTTTGATTTATTGATTTTGTTTGTTTCATTGCAACCCCACTAATTTGTTTTATCATTCTCCTTTTCAGTTGCTGGAGGCCGGTGGTGGCGGTGCTGGTGTTTGGTGGTGGTATCCATCCTTCCGTCTTGTCCGCTGTGTTCCTGGGAGTGGGTTGCTTCACTGAGTGTGTCTGCCACGTGTGCCTGGTGATTTAAGTTGGTTTCTCTTTTTTTGGTGGATCCTTCCCCTTCACTAGTCCTTGTCCACTCACTAGGCCTCAGCCCTGATTAGGTTCTTTCCCCCTCCCTGTGTGAACATTTTTTTTAAAAGAAAAATGATTGTTTAATAAAAAGTCTATTTTTTTTAAAACTTGGAACCACGTCTCATGCCCCTTTGAGTAAACGAACCTGTGTGTCTTGTATTGAAGAAGTAATTCCCTGGGTGAAATTCCCAGGGTGGCGTTGTCGAGCCCTTTTCTTGGTAACAGTATTGGCTTTATATCCTTTCACCTCCACCTCGCCACACCTGCTCCTTTTTGTTGCGGTCTCTGTAGAGTAGATACGTAGTATCATATAGCTCCGGGTAGCCGCACTAAGTTTCTCCTCCATCTCGGCATCAACAACTGGACGTCAGGGCGTCAAGACGTCACTGATGACCATGGCTGAGATAACCACCATCACTGCTTTGTACCTGCTCTGAAGTCCCAGATGCGTCGGAGGGCCAAACGCCGTCGTTTTTGGGTTCACCCTATCCTGCATTAGCGCATCCAGCTCGGCGAGTTTCACCAACTCCTCCAGGAACTCCGTCTGGCTGATAGCCGCTTTCAGCGGTACTTCAGGCTGACTGGGGCCCAGTTTGAGGACCTGTTGGCGAGGGTTGGCGCCAGGATCTGCCGGCAGGACACCAACTACAGGCGCTCCATTTCAGCTGCGGAGCGTCTGTCCATCTGTCTCCGGTGAGTAGTAGTGTGTCAACAACGTCCAGCATGACCGGAGGGAAGCACAGCCAGTTAGCCTCCGCTAGCCTCCCAGCTAGCCCCGGCTCTCCGTTTGGATCCAACAGGAGCACCGAGCCCTGGTTTGTTATTCAGGTTAAAGTGGGAAGAAGCAGCGGGTTTGTCAGGCAGCTGAGTGAAGTGGAGCCTGCGGAGGAAACACCGGTGCTCGGCTGCAGATAGGAAACCCCTCGGCTGACAGGATGTACCACTCTGTCACTCCGCTCTCTCTCACGCAGGCACAGAATGTACGTGCTACTTGGCCATCGGATGTAGTCCGTGTAGTGTGTTCAAATGCAACTGACACAGGGCAACGTGAGGCGACGTAGACGACGCAACAGTTGGCTTTCGTCGCCGCTAGTTCTTTGTTGATGGTTTGGTGTGTCTGCACCTTAAGGAATATCTTGCAGGCAGTTTAAGTTTAGATAAGAACCAGAGCTTTTACAGTTACCATTAAGGCCTGGTTGGACCAAAAACCTGGTGGTCAACAGGGTTCTGGATGAAGCTAGGTCCAGGTAGTTAAGATGAAACCTCTATGATTCATACAAGACTGTTGCTGAGCTGTCCTCCACAAGGAAGGTAAGGGTTTAAGTCAAGTAGTAGTCCATTTTCGTCGGAGTACTCAGAGGACTGATCACAGTGATTACAGTGATTTGGAAGTGTAAGTAAAACCTGATCAAGTGTATTTGCAGTGCATTTTGTGTCACAGATAGAAAGACTCCAAAGACTCAAAATATTATTACATATTAGTAAAAATAATAAAACCAACCTGGAGTGAGGAGAGTCTGAGCCCCTGAGGTGGTGGAGGCGAGGGGAGTCGATGCCCTTCAGGTAGGGTGAACTGCCTCCTCGTTCTCTTTCTGCTTTGGCCTTCTGCAGCTCCTGTCAATCATGACAGACAACGTTAGCCTTAACTGAAGTACATTTATTAATTTCTGCATTTAAGTATTTGCTTCTGGTGACCAAACTGTCCCATCATACAGCCAGTCAATCAAAAACCAACCAGCCAAGCTCAATGAACTCATGGAAGAAGCGGTTGTACCTGCAGTCTCATCTCCTCCAGCAGCTCCTGAGCTCTCTGCATCCTCTGGGCGATGAGACTCTGCAGCTGACCGACTGGCTGCACTGAAGCCCCTCCCCCAGCCTCCTCTTCGGTTGGACAACGCTGAAGAGCTGAGCGCAACTCGGAGCGAATCATCGCTGGTCTGAAGAAGGTAAGGAGAAAGAGGGTAGAGACAACATAGACAAAAGAAAAAGTTAGAGATAAATAAAAAGACTTTTAATTTTGAAATGTTATAAACAGTTAAACACCAGAAGTAAACTTAGCAAGACCATAACCTGAGTCCCAAATACTTTCCCTTTATGCTGATAGTTTCAAAATTATCCATTAATTTTTTTTCTTTCTTCCAAGCAGCCATTGTTCTCACTTCATTTCTGTGAAAATCGTCTTGCCAGTATTTAAAATTTGCTATGCGTAGACAATCCAACTTACCCTACTCACAAACAAATCACAAACCAAGTGGACTTGTGGACAAGTGCAGTCAGCAGCAATGCTGACCCTTAGCGAGACTGTCATGGTAATTTTCGTCTGTCTGCATTCCAACCTTTTGGTAGTTACAAAAATCATGATTGAATGCAGGGTATCTAAGCTACCTTAGGGTGCTTTCACACCTGCCCTGATTGATTCAGTTCAAACTCAAGTTCGTTTGCCCCCTGGGGTTTGTTTGGGCAGGTGTGAACACAGCAATCGCATTCAGGTGCACACCAGTTACAAACAAACTGGTGCGGTACATTTGAGGTTAGAGTGTGTTCCTACCATGATCTGAACCAACTGCAGTCACATTATGCATTGTTTGGGTTAACAATCATGAACATTCCCGGAGGATTATCAATGTGTGCCTGCTCCTGTACTGCCTTAATATGCACATCTGGGGCATTAAACATTGTTTTCTAGTTGGAGCCATGCCTCGTTTTCAATCACAATCAGAGATCTCCCCCTTCTGATAGTCTGGGGACACTCCTTTCTAAAGTGTGTGTAACACACCGGAGAAAACGGCCGGCAACAAAGCAATGCCTCTTGCATTTTTGAAAAGGACACACCCTCCCGGAAATGTGCGCTCCCCCTTTTCTCGTCTGCTAGGAAACAAACACACAGAGGGCTTGAAAATGGATGCCGAGAGATTTAACTCAGTTTTATCAAACGTGTGCTCAGTCCACAAGATTGTGGAAACGAAGGACTTACAACGACTTTGCAGTCGGACTACGTTTACGAGCACTAGAGTTCAGCGAGCCACCAAAGGACTGCCCTGCAGATTTACTATTGGTTCTGCAACGTAGGGTTTTTTTTTAAACTCTGAAATTGTATCCACCCATCTAAACACAAAATCAGGGAGAAAGACATCAGTCTTTAGTTAAGCATAGCGTCTAAAGACTGACTTGTGAGTCTCAAAATGAACAATGCAAGCAATATAGTAAACGATGACCAGCGCTAAAATCAACCCGCGTAGTTGTCTCTCTATTGTGACATTAGAAAGTATCGCATTTATCTTGCAAGTGTACTCTTCTCCACGTTTTGTTTATTTCCTGGATTCTTCCTGAATGGAAATTCTGACCAATCAAGAGCAGCTTTCTCATGCAAGGCATTTCATCTGGTCGGCTTGTAAATGCTGCCGTGAGAACACAAACTAACTCTAAGCAATTATGCAACTTTGTAACAAAATTAGTCCCTGATTTGGACCAAAGCAAGACAATTCTAGGTCTGAAAACACCCTAAGAGATAGGGTTAAGAGTTGGGACGTTAAGAAGGAGATCGGAGAAGGAGCCAAATGGCCAAAGGAGCCAGTTGGGGTTGTGCAAGCATCTGTTCAGGTTGCCTCCTGGGCGACTTCCTTGAGACATTTTCCAGGCACGTCCAACTGGGTGTAACCATATTTCCCGTGTGATCTAGGATTGTCTTGAAAACACCCAGAAAAATAGGAAGACACCACTAGGGAAACTGACAAGTATGCTACCTTTCTTGGCCTGCTGCCACCATGACCCAGACATGAATAATACATAGAAACTGTATGAAGGGATAGATAATCCATTACATCTTTATATTGCTATGTTAAAGTGAATCCCTGAATGCACCAGTGGTGAGGTATTCAGAATTTGCTCATGTGGATGTGGTTTGCCGGGATAGAAGCTGTGTTGTGATGGTTGGTTTTACAATCAGGTCTTTGTGTACCTGGAGGAGAGAACTTCATCCATAGAGGCACAGCGACTCCGGCCCTGCATGCTTAACCTCTTCCCTGGCTGTGGCGTTCGCGACTGAGCCTGAAGGACCTGAAAGGTAACACAAGTCTGCTGTTTATATCTGTGGTTCGATGGTAATTAAGAGATGTTCCGGGTTTGACAAAGAAAATTATTTCATATATATTCATAAAATGAGTATTGGTTTGTGTAGCAGAAGCTATGATCTACAGGGATAATAATAGTTTCCCAACCTGCACCTGCTGGGGTTTGTGGATCTTGGAGACCTCCAAGTGGGAATGTTTGCCCCAGGACAGCTCACTCCCCCTGGGCAGACTGCTGGTCTTCACCTTGGGTTCCTTGGAGGTCACCCGTAGCTTTGACACGTCAGTGCCAGCTCGCTGACGAACCCCCAAATATCCAACTGCTGCCACCTGTCCACACGAACCACCCCTCTGCAGGTCGATTTGTAAGTTCTCCCAGGAATCCCGGGAGTTGCCTTCATAGCCCGGGGAGAAGCCATCCTCCTCAGCAACCAGGTCAAGGGTCAGCATGCCATGGGAGGAGGTGGATGCCTGGGGTGAGTGATCATACATTTTAGATTTTAAAGGTAACGTTAATAGTGTCATGCATTAAAAAGGTTTGATTAAGGAAAATGGAGAGATTTCAAATTACAATATGAAAAAGATATCAAGAGATCCCAGTACCACGGCCATGAGGTGCCCTCTGGTCGGCAACCGGCGGCCATGAGGGATCTTTGCCCGGTCTCTGGTGCGATGAACCAGGGCACTGTCCTCCCCGATAGTCACCTGGACAAAGACATTGAAACTGAATTTAGTTCCCTCTGAAATATTAAAATGATTTTTAAAACCCCAGAACAATTCATCAGTAGTGCCAACCATGCCTCCCCTGCATCAAGGTGAAACCTATATATTGTTGAAAAGCTTTTACCTTACCTTTATAAGGTATTTAACGATTTTATCAGTTTCATCAAGTTTAACAATGACTAAATGTCAAGAGACAAGATGCCCATACCTCGTCTAAAATGCGGTTCTTGGCTTTGATGATTGCCACATTGAGGGCGTTGACCCATGATTCCTTTTCCTCAGGACTCACCGCTAGAAATACAAGGTTGGGAACCTGCAAAACAAAAAACTTCAATATCTTTGGTGCATGATACAGATAGAGTATGTTTACAAGCCCAGACCTTAACCAGCCAGACATGTTGGAGCCAATTTAAGCAAAGTTATTTGATAAGATAGAATAGAACAGAACAGAACAGAACAGAATATACTTCATAGTTATTGTCCTGCAGTGTAAAACAATAAGAGTAGGTTTCCCTGAGTATACAGTAAAACACAAAAAAAAAACACAATACAGAACACAAAAACACACTAAAACACAGGGACGTGAATTTGATGATGGTGATGATGTTGCTAAACAATGTTTGAATGTAGTGTACAAAGTTATTTATGTAGCTGTAGCTAAAGTCTAAAATAGCTAGTGGAATAAAACTGCTTTGGTGTAGCTAGTGTTTTTTAGTAGAATTAAACTTCTTTGATGTAGCTAATGTGGCATTAATTAAATGTAGCTATGTTAAGAGTCTAAAATATCTTAAAGCAATGGTGTGGTTAGTGTAGATAAGAGGCTGTAGGAGTAGAGGCTCTACTCCAAGCTCCCTCCGAATGTCCGAGCTCCTTACCCTATCTCTAAGGCTGAGCCCAGCCATCCCACAGAGGAAACTCATTTCGGCTGCTTGTATCCATGATCTCATTCTTTTGGTCACTACCCAGAGCTCATGACCATAGCTGAGGGTTGGGACGTAGATTGACCAGTAAACCAAAAGCTTTGCTTTCCGGCTCAGCTCCCTCTTCATCACGACGGACCAGCGCAGCGCCCGCATCACTGCAGACCAAACTGCTTATCCTCCTCACGCTCCATTCTACCCTCGCATGTTAACAAGACCCTAAGATACTTGAACTCCTTTGCATGAGACAGGAACTTTCTCCCAACCCAGAGGGGGCAATCCACCGGTGTCAGGCCAACCATGGCCTCAGGTTTGGAGGTGCTGACTCTCATCCTGACTGCTTCACACTCGGCTGCAAACCGCCCCAAGTGCATGTTGGAGGTCATCATGTAATGAAGCCAACAGAACCACATCATCTGCAAAAAGCAGAGGTGAGATTCTGAGGTCCCCAGCCAGACCCCTCCCCCTCCCCCCGGCTGCACCTCGAGATCCTGAGTATCACAAACAGGATTGGTGACAAGGGACAACCCTGGCGGAGAGCAACACCCACTGAGAACATGTTTGACTTAACGCCTAGTATGCAGACACTATAATTTGTAAATAGAAATGTATTTCAGTGTCTCACATGACGATGTTCTTCACTATTACTATTTTTAATAATCATATTAATTTTACTTAATGTTGTTATTTAAGTTTTGCTAATGATATTAGCTGTTTTGCAACTCCAAAGCCCAGTTATTATCTTCACTATATGTATGTACTTTTAATACATTTAATGTGTAATCAAGCTATTATTCACTGTATATTTAACTAAAGGTATTTGGAGCTACTATTGTTATGTTGTATGTTCTCCTGTGTACTTAATGTTCATCTTCTGTTATTAAAACTAATATTCTTCTAGACTGTAGTTAATCTATTGTGTAGATTATCTTCTAATTTAGGTTTATGGCAGATTGAATGTTTGTTAGTATTCTAAAGAGTTGTCTTAATACTACATAACCACTGCATGCAGTTCTTTGTTGTTAATTATCATTGAAGCTCATGTTTGATATGTTTATTTTAATATACCAACTGATGTTCAGGTAAGAGGAATGTAATTCAGTTACTGTAACTCCTGACAGATCTGATGATGAGGAGATGCTGCATGGTTGTCTTTGTATTCTGAGAAATAGAAATCCGTAAATTACAAATTGAGTTAATCTATGATATGTCAGCCTGTGTGTCTGTAATAATCTGCAGCAAAGAGAGGCAGACTGACATGTGAAAGTGTTTGGACTCTGCAGGGATTATTCAGCTGTAACTCGTCCTCTGACCGACTAATGGGATTCTGTGGATTAAACCTTTTCAGAGGAGAAAAAAAAACAGCACAGCTCCACCAATCACTGCAGTCAAGGCTGGGCGGGTGGGTGATGTAAAGGCTGATCCTGTCCAATCCTGAGACAGATGTAGGTGGAAATCCACCAATGACGTGGTAATGTGAGTCAGGCGGGTTAGAGTAATCTCTGTGCACAGAGGGCTAACATGAGAGGATGAAGATGAAGACAGAAACACTAAAGAAACACTTCTTCATTGAAATATCTCAACAAATGTTTGATGGATTGGGATGAAATGTGATTTGTACTCCCCTGAGGATGACCTGTAAAAACTCTGGGGATCCTCTGACTTTTCATGTAGCGCCATCATCAGGTTATGACCAAATACCCGCATGGAGACGTGCGGCAGGTGCACTCAAACACCAGAGCAATGCCGTTCCGGAGCGCAGGCGTTCCCAAGTGCGCATTTGTCAGGGCGCGACGACTGTACTTTGAGATAAACTGAGTTCAACTTTTAGGATGCAGCAGCGCGCACTGCATGTTGTGATGAGAAACAACAAATCACAGGCAACAGATATCTTTCCCTTCCTCCGTAAATATCCGTCTGAGGTAAATATGGAGGAGAAGTTGATCATTTTAGTGCAGAGTTGTTAGAGCTTTACATCTGTCCCACTGACGATAGGCCTACACACTTCTAAACAGCGCCTGGAAGAAGATCAGCTCTGCACTCAGGATTTCAGGTAAACGGGCTATGGTACCGTGCTTGTGGAGGTTGCTTAGCAACTAATGTTCACTTGAGGCAGGCTCCAAGAGTGAGTCAATCCCTACAGACCCCTGTGTTAAAATGTCAAACTTTACAGCCTGTATAAACATCTTTACAGCCTGGTACAAAAAATTGTTTTAGTCTCTGTGGCTAATTTCCCTGTTCACGACAACTGTACAGGGGATGTATTTTTGTATATCTCACCTGTTTAAATGTTATTAAGGCTCAAAGTTATGTGCAATTAAGGGCGTGGCCACTTTGAGTGGCAGGTGGGTTCCATCTGTTGACAAGCCACTTTCAAGGTGAATACGTTGGCTAAGGTAACCATGGCATAACCCCAGACTCACAAAGTATAGGCATAGACTTAGCTGTCGCTATTTCATGAAGGTTAGCCTAACCGTATTGTCTTGGTCATCTAAAAAAGTCTTTAGCATTTGGTTGTACTAAAAGACCCTCTACGAAGTTGAATGTTAATTCTTTTCAGGAGGTACATTTTTTTTTAAAGGTTTTAAGCCTGTTTCTTGCTCACGAAAATTTGCATTAGCTGTAAATGCACCATGCTAACCAAGCTAGGAGCTAGCATTACCTCCAACCTCTCGTCCAAATATGGTCACTTCTGGCTCCAAAAATCCAAGATGACAACCAGACAAGGCTTCAAAACAGGAGTCCACAAACAAATGCATGACACCACTGTGGGTATGTTCATTATTTAAAGTCTATGGGGCTGACATGGGTTTTATAGGGGGTGCAAGGGGATTTTTTTTATAACTCTAATAAAGAGTTTTCAGTGTGGATGAAGTGACTCACAGTGTTTCCTGGCTGTCTGCAGCGCAGCAAAGTGAAGCGACTGTGATTTTTCTTGCTGCGACTCTTTGCTTTCCTCAGCTCCTCCGAACGCTCGTAATCAGCCAGGTCGAACACTTCCTGTGCCTTCCGCTCGTCTTTCACCTGCAAACAGACAAAACCCAATTGTATATCTGTGGCTGAATTACATTCCAACCTTCAAGATATAAATGAATCTATTAGAAGGAAACAAGAAGCAATGAAACACAGAGTGTATCCATTAAAATATAAATGATGTGTAATGAGAATGAGGTTGTAGGCCTTTTCCTACTATAGAGATCCTTGAGAAGATTCAGGAGGTACTTAAATAGGCTAGGTGATTTTGAAAAGGTTCTAGGTTCCATATAGATTCTTCAGAAGGATTCAGAGGTCCTGGAGTAGGTTTCATGAGTTCTTAAGGAGATAATGGGGTCCTGAAGGAACAGTGTTCATATGGTTTCTGTAGTCTTTGTTAAGGTTCCAGTTGTCCCTCCATCCATTTTCATCTGCTTATCGTGGGCCGAGGTGACTGGGTAAAGTATTCCAGACCTCCCTCTCCCCAGCAACTCTTTTCAGCTCTTCCTGGGGGATCTCGAGACAAAGTCTGAGGAAGACCATGGGCTTGAAATATCACTCTGCATTAAAATCCTTCTAAAGAGGAGCTGCTCGGTGTGTGGACTTAATCATTTTCTATTGTGCCAGATGTTTTTTGTTTTTTTTGGGGGTCCAGCACCCACTCCATTCAGACATCTGAGCTCCTCACCATATTTCTAAGGCTGAGCTCAGACACCCCATAGAAGAAACTCATTTTAGCTGCTGATTTCCACAATCTCATTCTTTCAGTCACTACTAAAAGCTCACCACAACAGTCTGGGGCAGCGCCTGCATCACTGCAGACTCTGCACCAAGCCGCCAATCCATCTGATGCTCCATTCTACCCTCACTTGTGAACAAGACCTTGAGATACCTGAACTCCTTCACTTTGGGCAGTAACTCTCTCCCCACCCGGAAGAGGAAATCCACAGTTTTCCAGCAGAGAACCATGGCTTCAGATTTAGAGGTGCTGACTCTCATCCTGACTGCTTCACACTTGGCTGCAAACCAGCCCAGTGTATTGTGGGATTTATACTTTTGCGTCGAGTTGACGCCATACCTATGACAAAGGCTCTGCATTGACATACAGTACAGGCCAAAAGTTTGGACACACCTTCTCATTCAATGCGTTTTCTTTATTTTCATGACTATTTACATTGTAGATTCTCACTGAAGGCATCAAAACTATGAATGAACACATGTGGAGTTATGTACTTAACAAAAAAAGGTGAAATAACTGAAAACATGTTTTATATTCTAGTTTCTTCAAAATAGCCACCCTTTGCTCTGATTACTGCTTTGCACACTCTTGGCATTCTCTCCATGAGCTTCAAGAGGTAGTCACCTGAAATGGTTTTCCAACAGTCTTGAAGGAGTTCCCAGAGGTGTTTAGCACTTGTTGGCCCCTTTGCCTTCACTCTGCGGTCCAGCTCACCCCAAACCATCTCGATTGGGTTCAGGTCCGGTGACTGTGGATGCCAGGTCATCTGCCGCAGCACTCCATCACTCTCCTTCTTGGTCAAATAGCCCTTACACAGCCTGGAGGTGTGTTTGGGGTCATTGTCCTGTTGAAAAATAAATGATCATCCAACTAAACGCAAACCGGATGGGATGGCATGTCGCTGCAGGATGCTGTGGTAGCCATGCTGGTTCAGTGTGCCTTCAATTTTGAATAAATCCCCAACAGTGTCACCAGCAAAACACCCCCACACCATCACACCTCCTCCTCCATGCTTCACAGTGGGAACCAGGCATGTGGAATCCATCCGTTCACCTTTTCTGCGTCTCACAAAGACACGGCGGTTGGAACCAAAGATCTCAAATTTGGACTCATCAGACCAAAGCACAGATTTCCACTGGTCTAATGTCCATTCCTTGTGTTTCTTGGCCCAAACAAATCTCTTCTGCTTGTTGCCTCTCCTTAGCAGTGGTTTCCTAGCAGCTATTTGACCATGAAGGCCTGATTGGCGCAGTCTCCTCTTAACAGTTGTTCTAGAGACGGGTCTGCTGCTAGAACTCTGTGTGGCATTCATCTGGTCTCTGATCTGAGCTGCTGTTAACTTGCGATTTCTGAGGCTGGTGACTCGGATGAACTTATCCTCAGAAGCAGAGGTGACTCTTGGTCGTCCTTTCCTGGGTCGGTCCTCATGTGTGCCAGTTTCCTTGTAGCGCTTGATGGTTTTTGCGACTCCACTTGGGGACACATTTAAAGTTTTTGCAATTTTCTGGACTGACTGACCTTCATTTCTTAAAGTAATGATGGCCACTCGTTTTTCTTTAGTTAGCTGATTGGTTCTTGCCATAATATGAATTTTAACAGTTGTCCAATAGGGCTGTCGGCTGTGTATTAACCTGACTTCTGCACAACACAACTGATGGTCCCAACCCCATTGATAAAGCAAGAAATTCCACTAATTAACCCTGATAAGGCACACCTGTGAAGTGGAAACCATTTCAGGTGACTACCTCTTGAAGCTCATGGAGAGAATGCCAAGAGTGTGCAAAGCAGTAATGAGAGCAAAGGGTGGCTATTTTGAAGAAACTAGAATATAAAACATGTTTTCAGTTATTTCACCTTTTTTTGTTAAGTACATAACTCCACATGTGTTCATTCATAGTTTTGATGCCTTCAGTGAGAATCTACAATGTAAATAGTCATGAAAATAAAGAAAACGCATTGAATGAGAAGGTGTGTCCAAACTTTTGGCCTGTACTGTAGAGCCTACCCTACACCATAACCTGATGTGCACCTCCCCAGAAATGTAACTACACGTTGCATCAACACAGACCTTCTGTCCATTTTTGTAAGCTGAAACCATTTCCCACAGTGGAAACAAAACTGTTATTTACTTTAATTTTACAGATAAGAAACAATAAATTGTGAAGACAGTAAAGCCTCCACAAAATAGCATTTTAAATCTTGTGTGTGATTTAATCTAATTTATACGATGTAAAATGCCATACAGTAGGCTTGTGCTAATAACGTTAGAATGTTGTATTTATACGGAAAACGTGTTTAGTATCAGACAGTTGTTTTGTCGGTGAAGCTTGTGAGTTGTAATGGAGCCAAATTCTGTAAGGTTATCTTTGTTAAATGTTGCTGTTGTTCCTGGCTTCGTATGAACAGAGGAAAAGTCTGCTAGCTGCTAGGCTAATTTATACAATGTGAAATGCAATAGGCTTGTGCTAAGAACATTAGCATGTTGTATTTTTAGGGAAAATGTGTCCAGCAAAAGACAAGTGCTTTGTGTGTGAATCCTGCAAGTTATAATGAACCTGATTTGTGTACTTGTGTTTGAAACTGTATTAATCAACTAAACTTTGCAGCACTTCACAGAAACCCCACCGCCGACCAGTGTTTTGGAGGTGTAACTACAGAGTGACACAGACACACCAATGCACAAGTATTAATGCTCACAACAGCATAGGCCACGTGGGTAGGTTATGGCATAGGGTCTGCCGCGCAAGTATAAATCCTGCTTATGCTGGAGGTCACGGCATGATGAAAACAACAGAACCACATCATCTGCAAAGAGCAGAGGTGCAATTCTGAGGTTACCAAACCACATTGCCTTGAGATCCTGTCCATGAATATCAGAAACAAAACTGCTGACAGGGACAAGCCTGGTGGAGGCCAACACCCACTTTAAACCTGTGTTACCTTGTGCTGAATATGTGGACACAGCTCTCACTTTGGTTATACAGGGACCTGATGGCTTGTAGCAATGACCCCCTTATTTCCACAGTGCCCCAAACAAGATTCCCAAGAAGACACAATTGTAAGTCTTTTTCAAGTCCACAAAACACATGCAGACATGGACAAACTCCCACTACCCCTCCAGCAGCCCTGCAAGGGTAAAGAGCTGGTCTGCTGTTCCACGACCAGGACAGCATCTGGATTGCTCTTCCTGAATCCAAGGTTTGACAGTCAGTTGGAGCCGGAGCCTTTTTTCCAGCACCCTGGAATAGACAGTTCTAGGGAGGTTCCAGATATCCTTGAACAATTTCCATTGGTCATTAAGTAGGCTCTAAAGGTCCTTGAAAAGAATTACTGGTGGTCTTTGAGAGATGTTTCCAGAACTTCTTGAAGGTTTCAGAGGTCATCGAGTGAGTTAACAGCTGAGCATCAGTGCTGTCGCTATGGTTACATGCAGTTTGAGAGACCTCGAGCCTGGATTGTGAACAGAAGTGAGATTGTTCACCCCTGACAGCCAATCAGAGGGTAGGATTCACACGCAGAGAGAGAAGCTGTCAGTCACCAACACTCTGACAGATTTGGTGTAACAGAAATAATCCGAGTGTCACGTCTTCACTCAACAAACACTCTCCGAGCTCATAGCTGCTGTCTGTTGTGATATAATCAGGTTAAAGATGCACCCAGACACAAACATGCAGTGACACAGAAATAACTGTAACACCTGGGTACACATTAAAAACACCTGTACCTCAGCAGAAAGCAAAATACATTCATTCAGTACAGTTTTGAGGAAGTTGTAGTAATATCTTTGTACCTCTACTACACCTCAGAAAATACTGTACTATTATATTGCACTTTATTTATTCTGATGACTTTATTTACTTTGCAGATTGAGATTATTAATGCGAAATATAATCAATCAAAGAATGCATGACTTTTACTTTTCACACTGGTATTAATACTTTAACTTGAGTGAGGACTCTGAGGACTTGAGGACCTGGTTTTTAACTTCAGTTAAAACTCTTCAGTTATGTTTGTTTATTAATCTGCAGTTTATTTGGATAAAAATACAGTTTGGCCTTTAATCACATGATTTTCTCAGCTGTGTTCTGATTTAAGATTTTCCACTTTCGAAGTGTATGGTTCATTAACTCTGATGTTTCAGCTCAAATAAACAACAGATGGAAGTGAGTCAAACATTTTCTCTGTGATTGTCCTTTAGGTGTAAAAATAACAGCAGAGTCTGGAAGGATTCGGAGCTGGTCTGACATCAGCTCATTACATTTACAGTAAGTTCCCTTTCAGAAATCAGGAGGCAGGAGCTGGTTTTTAAAAG